ACAGCCGTAACAAGTACAAGTAAGTAAGTCAGACCCGAGGTCCCGCTTACGTCACAGCCTTATTTCACGTCTCCCACTATCCTCCACACGAGTAAGGGCCGGGTGATCCGCAACTAGACTAACAAACACGCCAAGCTCTGTTGGGTTTCCTGGCGTCTCACCACTTTCGATCAACTAAAACATTTATTGCTTTGTAAATAATTGCCTAGGACTAGCTACCATGCACGATGTTTGTATTTACAAACACAACTTGTCGTATCGCCGTTGTGGTCAGTTTCAGTAATATTACTGCTTCCCCTTTTAACTATCCTAGAACTGCAACTCGGTAAAACTAGCATGTAAACATTGGGATTGGAGACCGCGAGGTTTGGTAAATTGCGCTTGTCTACTGAAGCCTAGTGTATCACTGAGTAACTTTCACACTTCTTGTGGTCGCAAATCCAAAGAGGCACCAATTTGGGTTAAAGTTATTTGAAGAGAACTTGTCATTTGCGGCTTAGATTTGTGTAAACACGCAAGTTCAGGAATTGTGTTCGTTTCAACAACATAATATCTTTTTCAGCGCTAATCAAACAGCAGTATATACCGTTTACTGAAAAGGCTACACCGTAGAGTTTGTCCAGCAGACGAGAAATCTGTGTCGCATATTTGTTTGCTGCCGTTTTTCGAGGAGTTCTCGATCTTCCCCTATGTAGCTACATCGTTGCAGCTCCAGGAAGTGTTAACCAAAATATTTTCATAAAACGGGATAGAATCTGAAAGGCCGTGTCTCATTAGGAAACTACTAACCATCTTTCAACATCTGGAGCTACGAGCGGGACTCATACAGCTTAAACGCCCACAGATACTGTAGGTGGCAGCAGACAATCAGTGAAATGTGTCTGGGCTTTTAGATAATAGCTATGTCGGGTGTATTGTGAGCAAATTTTCAGAATCACCTCTGCCTGTAATGCAACTTCCCCCATATGCTGGCCTTTTACGAGTTAAGTTAATGTGACAATGCTGTAACTGTTTCATTGTTCACACAGTCCATGTCAACGTTGGGTGTTCGTATATTGAGTAATAAAAAGGATCAGGGCTGAAATACCGCTTTTTGGCCCACTGCATTCCTCATTCCCTTTTCCATCACAACATATCCCATATTCGTACGTTCCTTCTTCCCCTTACAGCTTCCGCCAAATGTATGCTGATAGCAGCTTTCCCTCGCCGACGACAGAGGGATCGGGCACCGCTACTGGCGGCCTGGGTGAGGAGGAGCAGGAGAAAGGGGAGGACGATGTCATTGACCCCAGCTTTCTTTCTACTTTTGATAATGATGAAAGCATAGACTACGGTGGTGGTGAGGCAACTCCTGATCTGTACGCTGTACTTGGCGTGGGGAAGGACGCCTCAGAAGCCGAGATTCGGGCAGCGTATCATCGTCTATCACGCTTTTTACACCCAGACAAGCATGTCGCCTCAACTGAAGCCGACTCTGTTCCCGGTGATGGAGGGAGCGCTGCTATTCTTGCGAACGCCGAGGCTGCTTTCGGCCGTCTTACTACCGCCTACAATATTCTCTGCGATCCTCACAAGCGCGCAATTTATGACCAATATGGATTTCACGGTAGGTACTGTCATACACCGAAATAAGTGGATAACAAGATGCCGAATAAGGAAGACTTTTAACGCAAATTTATACTGTAGTTCCGAGTGCGTTTTTTTAAACTGGATTTCCTTCAATTGGTTGCTTCCAACCAGGCAAACGGAGTTATTTAAATCAGCTTATTTTTTGAAGAGCATTCCTATAATTTTTGTCTGTTGCCTACTCCTGTAAACCAATCCTTAGCAAACTGTTAGGTGGGTCATCCTTAGTGCGTCCATTCAATGCGCACCTAACCCAACCCTGGATATTAAGTTATGCAGTAGGGTCAATCCTTCACTTACTGCATCGTTCGGGGTCCCAGTCACTTTAAAACAATAGACTGTCTCATTATTCAAAAGCGGGACTATTTTACGCTGTTTTCCCCCAGTACGGGTATTAATTTCACCTTGGAATATCAACAATACCGACCAGGTGAATTTTATCCTCTGAACGATTAACTATTAGCTCGAGTTTACCGAAGAGTCCTCAGGGCACTTATCTAACCATTAAAATAGTTGCGGTCAAGGATGCATGATCTGCTCTAACCACAAACTTGAAGATTGTTCTGTCTAATGCAAGAAGTCAATCAGCTGTTAGGAGCGGTTTATTCGTTACACAGGGCAGTTTGCAGTGGGATGGTGGTTTGCTTGTGTGGTTGAACAATGCGTCCATACGGGAGCGTGCGAGAAGCGGTGTGATGTTAACGCTACGGCCAAGTCTAGGGGGCTGCCGTCGTTCTGTAGGCGCGCCTGCTGGTTGGCAAGCTTGTCGCGGCTGTCAGG